CACACTGGTGTCACACTGTCACACACTGGTGTCACACTGTCACACGCTGGTGTCACACACTGGTGTCACCCACCCAGGGGAGCTGACATTTTTAGGCTTGGCTCACCATGTGGGTTAGAGGAACCCCAGAACCAGGGGTGACCCCAGCCCAGAGCCTGCCTGGCCCAGCTGAGCCCTGCAGAGGGGCACGTCCAGCCTGGTCCAGTTCAATTCAGCCCAGCCCAGTTCAGCCCAGCCCAGCCCAGCCCAGCTCAGCTCTCTGTGCTCAGGGACATCGAGGAAGGACAGGGACAGTGCCAGTGTGCACACTGCAGGCCCTGGGAGCAAAAGGGTGTGTGAGTAAATAAAAAGGATAAAAATGCCCGAGGAACAACAGTGCGGCAGCCGCGTGTGCCGGGTGTGCTGGAGCTGCCGAGCTCAGCCTGGGAAAGGCGCAGCTGAGGAGTGGGGCAGGGACAGGGCTGTGCTGAGCGGGGCTGGCCTCGTGTCCCTGTGTCACTGTCCCGTCACCGTTACTGTCTGTGTCACTGTCAGTGTCCCTGTCACTGCCACTGTCTGTGTCAGTGTCCCTGTCACTGCTGTCCCTGTCCCTGTCACTGTCTGTGTCCCTGTCACTGTCACTGTCTGTGTCCCTGTCACTGTCTGTGTCACTGTCACTGTCCCTGTCACTGCTGTCACTGTCCCTGTCACTGTCTGTATCCCTGTCACTGTCTGTGTCCCTGTCACTGTCACTGTCTGTGTCACTGTCACTGTCCCTGTCACTGCTGTCCCTGTCCCTGTCACTGTCTGTGTCACTGTCCCTGTCACTGTCTGTGTCCCTGTCCCTGTCTGTGTCACTGTCCCTGTCACCATCCCTGTCACTGCTGTCCCTGTCCCTGTCACTGTCTGTGTCCCTGTCACTGTCACTGTCTGTGTCCCTGTCACTGTCTGTGTCACTGTCACTGTCACTGTCCCTGTCACTGCTGTCCCTGTCCCTGTCACTGTCTGTGTCCCTGTCCCTGTCACCGTCCCTGTCACCATCCCTGTCACTGCTGTCCCTGTCCCTGTCACTGTCTGTGTCACTGTCACTGTCTGTGTCACTGTCACTGTCACTGTCTGTGTCACTGTCCCTGTCACCATCCCTGTCACTGCTGTCACCCCGGGGGACGAGCAGCTCGGTGCCCCCAGGCCACGCTCTGCCCCGGGATGGGGCAGGGGGGATCACAGCAGGGTCTGGCCTGGCAGGGACATTAAACCCATCGTGTCCCACCCCAGCCATGGGCAGGGACCTCTTCCCCTGGGACAGTGACAGGAGTGGCCCTGGCCCCCGTCCCTGGCCTTGGGCACTCTGGGTCCTTGTCCTTGGAGCTCTTCTGATCCTGCTGCAGCCATGGGGTGTAAATGCCCCTGACCCTGAGGGGACAGTGGCGACTCAGTGGGGGCTGGCCCGGGACACACCATGGACACTCCCCAGGGCTTGGAGGAACCTGGGGCTCGTGTCCTGCCGTGCCAGGCTGCAGGACCCAGCGGGACCCTGCCAGCCTGCCCAGTGCCTCAGGGTGTGACCCCTGGTGTCACCTGCCTTCCCCCGCACTGGAGGCCACCATGAGCCCCCGGTGACCACACCAGAGCCCTGTGGCTCTGCCTGGCTGTGGGACCATTTCTTGCCTCACAGGGACCCCTAGAGTCACTCTCCCAAAGTCTCAGCAGTTCTCCACTCACGTACCAGGGTGCTGTCCGTGCCTCATCCCTGCTGCACAGCCGGAGCTTCCCAATGAGCTCCCCGTGCTCCTCTTCCTCAAGGCAGCCCTAGAGAGGACTCTAGAGAGTGCCCTGTGTGTGCCCCAGCCCCGGGGACAGCAGGGACATTCCTCACCCTCTGCTCCTGGGACTCCATCCTTGCTGCTCCATCAGCCCCTGCCCTCCTGGGTCCAGCTCCTGCTGCACCCCTTGAGGGGGTCCCTGCCCTGCTCCTGCCCCCCGAACCCTCCCAGCTGCTGGGGTGGGATGTGGCTCGGGGGGGCAGAGCTGTGCAGGGTGTTTCTGGGGCCCGTTTTGGGGTGTCTGTGGCACAGGGTGCAGGGAACCAGCCCCAGTGGGAAGAGTCTGTGGCAGGAAGGAAACCTGGAGCTCCTGGAGCAAGCTCGGTGTTTGAGGCACAGCAGCAGCACATCCTCTGCTCCACAGAATGGCAGATCCACTGAGCTTGGAAAAAGCCTCCCAAGTCACTGAGTCCAAGCTTCAGGTGCCACATTTCCCGTGCAGCTCCTGCCCTGCCAGGACTCAGAGGCTCAGGGCTGGCAGCAGGGATGGGCACGGTGCCCAGCAGGAGCCCAGCCCACCCTGGAGGGAGCCCAGCAGAGCTCACAGCATCATCCACATCTCCTCTGGAGCCAAAGCAAGGGGAGTCCAGTCCAAATGCTGCATTTTGAGATGCATGAAGCATCAGAGGAGAGACAGCACCAATATTTTTAATTGCATGGCTCCTGTTGAACATTTCCACAGTTGCTGCAGGAGTGATGGTGCCTTGTCAGTGTTGTTGCCTTTCCTGGATCCAGGATCCTTCTGCAAGATCAGAACCTCCCACTCCTGCTTCCCTGTTACCCCAGGAGCCGTGTCCTTGGGGAGGAGGGATGGGGAAGGAGGGGCTGGGGCTGACATCAGTGTCGCTGGGTGGGGCAGGACACTGCCCAGTATTGGCTTTTCTGGGCATGCTTTTTGCACTTGATGGTCTTAGAAGTCACAAAATCACAGAATCGTGGGAATTCCAGACTGGTTTGGGTTGGGAGGGACCCCAAATCCCCCCCAGAGCCAGCCCTGCCATGGCAGGGACACCTCCCACTGTCCCAGGCTGCTCCAAGCCCCAATGTCCAACCTGGCCTTGGGCACTGCCAGGGATCCAGGGGCAGCCACAGCTGCTCTGGGCACCCTGTGCCAGCCCTGCCCACCCTGCCAGGGAACAATTCCTGCCCAATCATGGTTTTGTAGATTGTTGATTTGATCAATGATCTTCACAGTCATTATAATCATGAAGGTAGAGCAGTGCCCGTGGGCTGGGGTTGGGTGGCAGAGGGGACCTGGCAGCTTGAGGGGGCTGTTCAGGGAGGTCTCAGCAGTGGAACGAGACAATTTTCACCGGCTGTGGATAAAACACTCCCAGACATCCGTGATGCTCTGGATCCCAGGAGTGCTCAGGCTGTGCCCAGCTCCTGCTCAGGCCCAGTGCCCAGCAAGGAGAGGGGAAATTCACTTGCAATGCAAATGCTGGGAAAGCAGGAAATGCCTCAGCCGGGAGTGTTAACTGCTGTTAATGGTTAATGCACCGGCAATTTAAGCCCCCCAGGTGCAGGGGCTGCTGCTGTTTCTGAGGTGTGGGAAGGGAAGGCTCGATAGCATCAGCCCTGGCAGCACTTGGGGCTTTGGGCTCCCCGGGCTCTGCTCCATTTGGGGTTGTGGTTCCTCCTCCCAGCTCGGGGCTGGCCCTTGGTGAGTCCTTTTATGTCAACATGGGGTTTGGGGCAGTGGTTCTGTTTGGAAAGACTGGAGGGAAGCGAGGTGGTATGTGAGAGGAATAGATTTCCGTATTTCTGGGATGTGGAGGTGGAAAGTCTTGCTGAGCTGCTTTGTAGCCCACACACAGTAACACGGCTGGGGCTGAAGCCTGGGAATTCCAGGCAGATTTAATCCCTTCTCCAGACCCACACTGGCTTCACTCACCTGGCTGACGTGGGCTTGCAAAGTGGAAGAGGTGGCTGGACAAATATTTGCCATGAGCTGAAGGTCTTTTCTGTGCTGAGCCGTGTTTTCAGTGGGCTTTTGGTTCAGGGAGGCTGAGAGTCCTTAATGGCAGCACTTAGAAATGCAAACACGTCTGCCCTGGGTACCTGCTGCTTGCAATAAGAGTGAATCAGGCTGCAGGCAGGCAAGGTTTATCTTTGGCCCGAATCCAACTGGTTTTCCTCTATCCCAACCCTAATGTAATGGAGTTTTTCTAAAGTGTGATGGGGTTTACACAGGGAATGGGAGCTGGGGGTGAGGTGGGGGAAGCACACAAACCCAGCAGTCCTGCCGTGCTCCTTCTCCTCAAAGCCCAGCTCATGGCAAAGCTTTTGTAGAGGACTTTGTTTGCATTAATCAAATCTTCCAAGATCCCCTCAGGCTGATCAGTCATGGGACAATGCTCCCAGCTCAGGCTGCCCCAGCACTTCAGGAACTGGGAAAACTGGGGCTGGAAGGGTGCCAGGGCCGAGCATCAGTGCAGAGCTCTGCATTTGGGGTGTCTCTCTGGGGTATTCCTGCTTTGAGCCAGAATTTCTTTGTCCAAGGACCACTCTGTGCAGTCCACCATGTCTTTGCCCCTCTTAATGAAGGAGTGAGGCAGAAATGATGCAAAAGGCAGGAAAAGAAAGGGCTCCCTCTGCTCTAGGGCCAGGCTGGGAGAGCTGGGGTTGCTCAGGCTGGAGAAGAGAAGTTCAGAGTGAGAAGTCTGATGGGTGCCCTCAGAGGTGCAGCTGGATGTCGGCCACATCCCAGACCCGGGCCAACAGTGATACTGGGGAAGGATTGATTCCTTTTTTGGGGATTTTACAAGGAGCTTTGGTCACTGGTCTGAGCAGGGTGAGGAATTGTGTCATTCCACCTCCCTGGAGGGACCTGGAGTCCCACCGCAGAGGCAGCTCTGTGTGTGCTCGCAGACGGAGCCACTGACTGTGACAAGGCTGAGGGTGACTTTTAGGACTATTTCTATGGCTTTTACAAGGTTTTTGTGGCAGTGGATAAGGCAGGGCTGCTCAGCAGTGGCGACGGGAGAACAGAGATGTTTTCCTCACAAACACACTGACAGAACAAACGGGGTCCCTTGTACAGAGCACGGCGAGGGAACCCCTGGGGGGAAGGCAGGCGCCATGGAACTCGTGTCCTGGTTCGCAGCCTCTGCCAGGTGTCACGGGCCAGCCCAGGCTCACAGGTGTCCTTCATCCCTTCTGTTGTTGCACAGGGCTGGGCCGGCCTGACCCTGAGCCATGCACGAGCTCAACGAGAGCAGCTTCGACCCCATCACCTTTGTCCTGACGGGCATCCCAGGCATGGAGGAGTCCCACATCTGGATCTCCGTCCCCTTCTGCCTGATGTACCTCACGGCAGTGCTCAGCAACCTGGTGCTGCTGGTGCTCATCGCCGCGGACCGCAGCCTGCACGAGCCCACGTACCTGTTCCTGGCCATGCTGGCTCTGTCCGACCTCCTGCTGTCCACCACCACGGTGCCCAAAATGCTGGCCATCTTCTGGTTCGGCGCCAGGGAGATCTCCTTCGACGCCTGCGTCACGCAGATGTTCTTCACCCATTTCAGCTTCATCGTGGAGTCCTCGGTGCTGCTGGCCATGGCCTTCGACCGCTACGTGGCCGTGTGCGAGCCGCTGCGCTACGGCGCCGTGCTCACGGCCCCGGTGATCGCCAAGATCGCCGCGGCCGCCGTGGCCCGCGCCTTCTGCATCATGTTCCCTCCCATCTTCCTGCTGAAGCGCCTGCCCTTCTGCGGGCACACCGTGATGCCCCACAGCTACTGCGAGCACATGGGCATCGCCCGCCTGGCGTGCGCCGACATCCGCGCCAACGTGTGGTACGGGCTGACCACGGCGCTGCTCTCCTCGGGGCTGGACGTGGTGCTCATCGCCGTCTCCTACGCGCTCATCCTCAGGGCCGTGTTCCGCCTGCCCTCGCCCGAGGCTCGCCTCAAAACCCTCAGCACCTGCGGCTCCCACCTCTGCGTCATCCTCATGTTCTACGTGCCGGCCTTCTTCTCCTTCCTCACGCACCGCTTCGGCCGCCACGTCCCGGGCCACGTGCACATCCTGCTGGCCAACCTCTACGTCGTGGTGCCGCCCATGCTCAACCCCATCGTGTACGGGGTGAGGACCAGGCAGATCCGGGAGCGTGTCCTCCGCCTGCTCTGCCCCACGGGGGAGTGTCCCTGCCGCGCCTGGGGGGGCAGCTGCTGAGCAGGGGCAGGGGGGTGGGATGTGGGGTGTGGAATATGGGGTGGGGTCTGGACAGCAGCACCAGAGGCTGCAGCACCTCTGGGCCTGGAGGAGCTCCAGGGAGCTGGATGTGGTGTGATTCCTTGGGTCATCAGCACCTTCACTGCTGCTGCTTTCTCCTGGAGCTGCTTTCCCTGAATTCCCTTCAGTGGCTGAGCCTGCCTGGGTCCAGCTGAGGAGCATGAAGGCACTTAGAGATGCTGGGTGCCCATCACCTGCTGCAGCTGGTCATGTTTGCTGCCCCACAGCCTCATCTCCGCCTGTTCCTTAACCTTTCCAACAGTGTCCACACCGTGAACACCTCGTTGGTTGCCAGACTGAAGCATGGCACACCAAGCAGGGCTGGATGGGCAGCATGCTGCTCACCATGGCACAGGGGTTTCGTCCTTCTGCCCTCATTGCTGGGGACCCTGGCACTTCTTGCTGCTGAAGGTGTTTCCTTGAGAGCTTGGGAAAGCCTTTATTGTCATTATTATTGACATTTCCCTCAGACCCTGACTCCCAAATGCAGTTCAAGCCTTTAGAGTGGTGTGTAAGGAGCAGTGGTGTCCTGCCCACTCATCCCTCAGGGATGCTTTGTGTCCTCAGTGCAGCTCTGCCTCAGCCAGGCAGAGCCCAGAGAGTTTTGGTTGTGGTGACTGGGGAGCCCTTTCTGGAGCTCTCACAGCAGTGGGGTGGTCTGACCCTGTGTCACCCGTGAGGCCCCACAGAGGGTCTGGGGTGTTCCTGATGTTACTCACGAGATGGAGCAGATCCAGCCATTTCTGCAGAATGTCCTTTAGCCCTGGCTGTGAGGGCAGCCAGCACCTGCCAGTCCCACAGCCTGACTGGGCTGCAAGGCTCTTTCAGACCTGCCCATGGTGGGGAAACCTCTGCTGCACACCTGGACCCCAGGTGTCTCATCTGGAAGGGTGGTGACCCCAGAGATGCTGGGGAACGGCTCTGACAGGGTCTGGACTCCTTTAAATGTTGTGCCCTGCATCAGGGCAGGAGCTGTGGGACCATTCTGGTCAGGGCTGATCAAACCCAGTGTTCCTGATGGGGAGCAGCAGCCACGGACACACCAGGTGTGTTCAGACCTGAGTGACACAGGAGCTGGGATCAACACAGACACCCAACCAGCAAACCCTGCTCCAGCCACGCCAGTAATGCTCCAGCACTGCAAAAGAAAAGGGGAAGACACTGATCACGATTTCAGACCAAAACTCCCCAAAAGTTTTTCACTTTTGCAGCACATTTCTTCTTTCCTTTGTTTTATTTTCCTCTGATTTGATCAAAGGTGGCACCCTGTGACGGGCACAGGGGAAATGAAAGTCTGTTCATTAAAGGCTGTTTGTCTACCAGGGGAGATAACGGAGCTGGGCACAAAAGCTGCTGGGTTTTTTCAATGTCCTCAGAACGTGTGTGTTTGCGTTGGCTTTCTTAGCAAAAAGAAAAAAAAAAAAGAGTGTTTGCACAGAGCAGCCATGTGATTTTCGATAGGAGATGGAGCTGTGAGAAGGAAAATGTGTCAGGAGAGCACAGTGCTGTGGGCAGCTCTAGGAACAATTGAGCTGCCCCCCTGCATTTGTCAATATTTGGGGCTGGGAGCAGCCTGGGGCAGTGGGAAGAGTCCCTGCCATGGCAGGGGGTGGGATGGGATCAATGGGATGGGATTTAGGCCCTTCCAGCCCAAACTGTTCTGTGATTGCAGGGATCTGTCTGTCTCCTCATTTCCCAGAATGGTTCCACACGATGGAGGAGGCAGCTCTGAACTCGCTGCTCTGCTCCTTGGGTGGCTGTGGTGGCCAGGTCAGGAGCAAAGTGCCCAGGGAAATGTCCCCAAGTCAATGAATCACCAGCTGGGCCATTCCTGGCCAGGGGCCCGTGCCTAATGGGGCATTAGCCAGCCAAGCAGGGAGATTTATATCTCAAGGTGGTTAAATGCCAGCTTAATAACTCACACAGGGCAGGAAACCACAGCTCCTTCATATTTTTTTTCCCCAAATCTGGTGACACCCATTGCTTTTTTAGCTCAGTTCATGGTTTTTGTGAGTGTGCTTGGAATACAAGGATCTTTGCCTGGTAGGAAGGAAGGGAAGGGGAAAGGTTCCCTGCCTGTGGCACAGAGGTAGAACGAGATGAGCTTTAAGGTCCCTCCCCACCCCAACCATTCCATGATTCCATTATTCCATCATTTCAGTGGGTGCTTTTCCCACATAGCACATGCAAGAAGTAAATGGAATCTCAGAAATCTTTGGGAATTAAGTGGAAGTCACCGAGAAACACTCCTGTGCTCTGAGTGAATGTTTCTGTGCAGGGAGGAGCTGAGCCTGCCCCTGGAGTGGGGATGGAGCCTTGGTGGTGGAGATTTGAGCTGAGCCAGGCTCCTGTGTGTGTTTGAAAGGCAAACGCTCCCCGGGGTGTGATTGCTTTGTTGCAGGACAGGGACAAAGCTCGAGTGCCCATTTCCAGCCAGGTTTATTGGTGTTCAAACTGCCCTCATCTGCTGGGCACCATGCTTTAGAGCAGCAAAACCTCCTGACTTCAGCTCTCCCTCTTCTGTCATCAGTGCGAGAGGAGAGGAGAGGAGAGGAGAGGAGAGGAGAGGAGAGGAGA